TCATCATTATACATGTCAGCTAGAGGTGATGAAACACCTCCGCTATTGTACCGCAATACATAAAGGAATTACATCCATACATACAAGACATAAAGGAAAAATAAATACGACAGTTGCACGCCAGCTAAGCTACCAGCAACGGATAGGCATCGTTCCGGTATGCTACCAGCCAGCTACTAGATAAAAAATTTATTATGTTTTACCCTACGAAATGAGATCGTAGATGGAGGGGGAGGCTAAAAGGGATGGGGAGCAGAAGCTGCTCTGATTGATTGGATTCTATTCAGTAGCCGGTTGTGTGCAGTCCGATTGGCTGGCTCGTTTAAAGATTCGAGGTCCCGCGGGACTAACAGGTGTCTATTCGTTATCGCTGCCTATGCACCCACAAACTCTATCGATGATTCAGTAAAAGATGACTTCTACCGCCAACTGAACATGCTCCTTTGCCACAGAAGTTCGGACACTGTTGTGCTGACTGGGGATCTGAACGCTCAAGTTGGAAAATTATCCACTGATGAATTGCATCTGGGCGGCCAACGTGGTGTAGGCTCCCGTAACGATAACGGTGAGCGGTTACTTCATTTGTGTGAAGATGCTCGCTTATTTCTTGCAAGCACTAATTTCCGACACAGCATCCGCCGGAAAGTGACTTGGCGCCCACCAGCCTCGAACCAGCTATGGACGCAAATCGATCACATTGCGATAAGTTATCGATGGAGAGGCTGCGTCCGGAACTGTTGCTCGATTTGGAGCACATGTGTGGACACTGACCATGCACTTGTATGTGTTGACCTGCGGATGCGTTTCCGCGGACGCCCACGACGACGTTGTGAGCGCATTGACACCAGCCAAATGGCGAAATTAGCTGTTCTGAATGCCTATCAAAGTACGCTGTCGTGCGAGTTGAGTAAACGATCGCTGGATGCATTTGAAGCCCACTGGTCTCACATTTACTAGACCTTACTAGCAGCAGGAAAATCCTCATGTGGTGAGTCTAATCGCCAACATGAACATTAGGTCTCTTCACAGTCTCTGGAACTTATCGATGCTCACCGGCCTATTCCGGCTGGAAACGAACACAATGAAACTCGCAAAGAGCTGCGGGCAAAACTCCGTGCAAGCCTGAAGAGAGACCGCGAATCTTGGTGGTCTCATCGTGCTTCAGAGATGGAAATGGCCGCTGCCCTTGGTAACCATTGTAAGTTATTCCGGCTGATACGGGAACCGGGCAGCTAGAGACCTGATGTTAGTGAAACTATACGTGACGACAGTGGACAGCCTATCCACAATTTGTCAAAACGCTTGGAGCGTTGGGTTGAGCACTTTGAAATGCAATTTAATCGGCCCGTATTGTTAGATTACTCGCCCGCCACTGATCGCCGTGCTCCGTGGGCTGTCCCTTTTTATCCGCCCTCTTGTTCAGAGTCGAACTTGAGCTCGGACTGTTGAAGTTAAATAACATCGCGGGACCAGATGAACTTCCACCAACCCCCTTCAAATTCGGATGACCTGCTTTTGTGGATGATTTATACGAGTTACTAGTGAAACTGTGGGAGCAGGAAACTGTCCCAACCGATTGGAACCGCTCCGTCATAGTCCCAATTTTCAGGGGAGGCTCACGATCGGAATGCGGCAACCGTAGAGGAATCAGTCTGATCTCCATCGCTTCCAAATTGCTTGCCTCTGTCATCCTTCACCGACTGACTGGCACTCGTGAAAGCCATATTCGTGAAGTGCAAGCTGGATTTCGTCGAGGTCGTGGCTGCATTGACCACATCTTCACCTTACGTCAGTTGTTGGAGCACTGTCACATATATTGGCGGCCCACCGTTGTCGTGCTCCTCGATATCAAAGGTGCATTCGATTCGGTGGATAGACGTGTATTTTGGGACTGTCTACTCAGGAAAGGTGTACCTGAGAAATATGTGAATATTATCCGAGCATTATATGCTCGTAGCTCGGGCAGAGTGAGGGCTTACGGCAAGTTGTCGTCACCCTTTAATATCTCCAGCGGCGTGAGACAAGGATGCCCGCTGTCACCTTTCCTCTTCAACTTCGCTGTTGACGAAGTCATGGAAATCGCGTTCGCAGGACACAACTTAGGTGTAGATCTGCTCCCAGGAGAACGACTTCTTGACTTGGAGTATGCTGACGACATTACCCTCATCTGTGACAACCCACAAACGTGCCAAGTTGCACTGGACAGATTAGCACTAGCTGTCCGTCACTTCGGCCTTTGCTTCGCACCCTCGAAGTTCAAAGTGTTCCTCCAAGATTGGCCTGGACCGCCTCCTACGCCGACCCTTGGTGGGGATCAGTTAGAAGTCGTCCAAAAGTTTAACTACCTGGAAAGTTGTATCAGCACCCGTGGGACTGAGGATGAGATCACGAACCTTATAGCGAAAGCTCGGGGCGCTTTTGCTAACCTCCACCACTTATGGTGCCGGCGCGACATCACACTTTCCCTGAAGGGTAGAGTATACAATGCAGTGGTATCTTCGACCCTACTGTACGTTTGTGAAACGTGGCCCCTTAGATCAACGGGCATAAGGAGGCTAGTTTAGGTTCGACCACCGGTTCGTTCGTCATTTAGCACGCATCTGGTGGGAACACGGAGTAAGCAACGAGCGTGTTCGACGCCTTGTTTAGGGCACAGGAAAAGGAAATGAAGCGCTCAGCACCGTCATTTCACGCTCCAGGCTCCGATGGCTCGGCCACGTGTTACTCATACCAGCCCACCTACTCCCGCGACGTGCGTTGTTTTTGCGCCGGGGGTGTAGATAAAAGAAGAGGAGAGGTGGCCAAGCGATGACTTGGTCGCGAGGACTGAAGTCCCTCAGTTTTGAGCTGGACTCAGTTGGAGCGTCTTGGCTCCCTGGTTGGGGTCCGAAGGACGATGAACACGTTTGCCTGGATACACTTGCTGACATGGCTAGGAGCCGATCTCAGTGGCCTTCGTGCTGTGAGTTTCTTTGCCCCACCCCATCCCTCTTAGCCTCCCCCTCCAACCACGATGTCATTATTTAGCCTAATATAATTTTGCATAGTAATTTTTTGGTGCACAGCAGCCGGCTGGTAGCTTACCGGAACGATGCCCATCCGTTACCAGTAGCTCAACCGGCTTGCACCAGTTGCTCTTTTTTCTCTCCTTTTTTCTATGTATTGCGGCACAGTAGCTGAGGTGTTCCCCACCTCCAGCTAACGTGTAGTATGATATGATAGTGTGCCGCGGAAAGTTGTGTTGTATGTTAGAAATGAAATCTTCGTTGAAGGCTAGGTGGGAGGAGGACACAGACACTTATTATCCAAGTACAGATCTCTTTTCTGAGACTAACAGATGCTTCTACTTGCACTCATTATTGATGGTGAGACACCGGAGGTTGTGAAGAGTTTTGTCTAGCTTGGAAACTGTCACTGTTGGTGGGGTTATTGGAGACGAGATTTTGATGCTTGTCTCAAGTGATTTTCTCCACTTCTCCACGTCAAAGCACTTGTGATGCCACCACATCAGTCCCTCCATAAAGAGTAGGTTCATTGTGCGACTGTCAGCGCTGTATGGCTGTGAGACTTGGTCTCTCCGTACCGATGACTTGCGGCGACTATCTGTCTTCAAGCACCGCTGTTTGCGGTCCATCGTCACGTAACCAGTATTGAAGTTGGACCACGTGTTTGGCTTGGATGCAGCCACTCCATTGAGGCGCCAGTCTCGCTGCGCCAACTACAGTGGCTTTGACACGCATTGCGCATGCCCGTTCATCGTCTTTCGCGTCATGCGTTGTTCGCGCTTGCTGGATAGGACTGGAGCAAGTGGTATGATGGACAGTCTACAACTTTGATGAGCAGCTTGAAAAAGCTGACAGAACAGTTAACCTCGGTTCTTCTCGACTCCTTGGATGAGGTCCCGGAGATGCTGAGTATAGATTGTTGATGACTCTGGAAGCCATGACTCAAAATCGAAGTCAGTGGCGGTCATATATGATTGTTGCGGTCATTATCTTTCCCACCCCCAATAAAATGCCACCGCCCAAGCTACTGCCTCTTGATTCTGGGCGATCAACTGTCTGTTGCTGGCCTTCAACTTACATGTTGCAGACCTCAGCTAATGTCGACCCATGGAGTAGCACCCGTCACTGTTTGCTCGTGATTGTAGCCTATGACCCCACCAACTCCAGCCTTGAATTTGCCAAGGTCACTTTCTTTTTAGCGAACTTAGCGCTGCTTGCATGGTAACCAGTTCAGATATTGTTCTAGTTGCATGGGCTGAATGCACAAATAAGTCGTTCAGGCTTCTCGGAAGCTGAGTTAGATGGCGAATATGGGCTTAACTCCGAACATATGGACAACGTCGGGCATTTGTTGCAACTGTGTGCTTGGCACCGGCTATTTCTCAGCAGCACCACCTTTAGGCACACTGGGCACGGAAGTGCGAGTTGGCATCCTAATGTAGTTGGCCAGCTAGGTTTCATGCTGAACTGTCGCTCGCCCCGGAACTTTAGCATCGACTCTCATCATGCTGTTCTTTTTCTTTCACGGTCCCCACGATTGTATTATGTCTCTCTAAGTAGCTGCTTTGAACACAGTATAGAAAGGTAAAGCATCGTCCTGACAGCAGAAACTCACACTGATACATTGCTAACATGCAGCCACAATGGGTTGCGTGCGGGATACGGAGACCTTGACGTTTACCGCATCTGTGCAATCACGAGCCAATGGCACGTGGATCACGAACCAAATGCTTGAATCACTCCACCTTCGACACCGAGTCTGTTTTCTCTCAAATATATGCTCCGTCTTTCTATTGTTCCATCTTGTCGGATGCTAGGCACCCTCTGTTGACTTTTTGTGACGTAATTATTTTTCTGCGCTAACTTTGTAGGGCAGTTTTGTGATTGTTTTTTATGCTTGTTCATTTTTGCTGGTGGCTTCCATTTCCTGCTTGTATCGCACAACAATTTCTTACAAGCTTTGCAAGCTTCCATAACAATTTTGTTTTTTTATAGCCACACTACATTCAATGCCTTCTCAGAAAAGCTTGTCCTTGGATGGCTCTTTTGATGCGCAAAACGGTGACGAGGAGGGAAAATGCCTTTGGTTCGCTTTTGCTGCACTCTTCTTTATCTGAAATTTGATTACAGGTCAGCAATTTTGAAAGAGGTCACACATAAAGCTTCGTTCAAGTTGTCTTCTACTAGAGCTCTCCTCGTCTTAGGTGATGACGAATCAGGGAAGACCACACTTATTGCCAAGCTTCAAGGCACTGAAGATCCTAAAGAGACTTTTGGACTGGAATATTCCTTCATTGAGATAAAAGATGAGGATCGTGATGGTACCATTTCCCTTTTTAGTTTTCAATCGACCGTTTTCTCGCAGATCAGACGAAGCTTAACGTGTGGATTTTGAACGGACAAGTTGCGCATGATCGCTTGCTCAAATTCGCCCTGAATGCGGATAACTTTGGGGACTCTGTTGTGATGATCGTAGTTAGTATGGCGGAGCCATGGAAACTCATGGAGTGCTTAGATAAGTGGGTTACGATCTTGGAGAGTCACATCGAGACGCTTTCGATTCCCATGGAGACACTAGCGGAGTACCGAAATGGTTGTAAGTGTACCCAGCTGTATTGCACGCGCTATTAGTCGCTCGTTTTGTAACCAGCTCTCCCATCACCGTGGTCAACTCTTTAATTGAGTTGGACCATTAACAGTTATCGGTTCGTGGAACATTCGTCTTTTACTCTTGCTTTTTTCCTTTCTGCTAAGCCTTTTCGATCCGGAAATTATCTGTTTTCTTCCCTTCACAGTGGTTCGTGGATTTCGCGAATATGTGGAACCAGATGCTTTACTTCCTGCCACTCCGGCTCCTATCCAGCATACCCCGTTGGCTACTGCCCCTATACATTCCCGCCGCTTAACAACTCAAGGATTGCATCCGGCTACCGCGGCTCTCCTATCTTCAACACTAGCCGACCAACAGCCCAATAAATTACCGGCAGTGATCGAGAACGGCGGCTCCACATCTGGGGATCAGCCTGTTGTTCCTGAGCTTCCCTTGGACCAGACGACTCTGTCCCACAATCTCGGTATACCGATGGTCGTTGTGGTTACAAAAGTAGGATACTGGATGTATCAGTGTTTTAGTTAGGTTTTTTAATACTGAGCAACACTGATTGTGGGCGCCATTCTGAAATGGACCTTTCAGTTTGATTTTATAAATTTCTGCTAAGCTGGCTTTATAGCACAATTCCTCGTCTCCGAAGATAGCACCCTGATGTCACCTACAGTGATTGTTTCCTAACCCTCTGCTTTGAGATGACAAACACCACCACGATCAAAATTTCTCACTCATCACGCGATGGCACATTACTCGTGCCGTGGAACAAGCACCATCAATCCTCCCACGACTCATCATCAGTTTTCTGTTTTAGACATCCGGTTAAAATTCTTTCTGCACTTTTTGTTGCCATCCTGGCCATTTGGTTTCTGCCTACTTAGAAGTCAAGCAAATACACACCACCCACCTAACTCGAGTGCCTCTGACCTGCAACAGCCTTATTGATCCGTCTCCCGACTTTTTTCACTTAGTTACCATTCATACCATGCTCTGTTCATCGAAATGCGTTGCACCCACTTGTCTCACCTCTCTTTACAGATTGATTATCATGTCACTTCGGAAGATTGATTAGTTATTAAAATAGTTCTATGCAGTAGTTGAGAGTCTCAAGCAAAGGAACAAATGCCAAAGCACCATCTCATCAACAACAGCAGTATCTCAGTCATTTGAACTGGTGATACTCTGCCGTGCAACCACAATGATTTGCGGAACAACGAATAATAAAGGGGTGAGATGTGGGACCTAGCGTACACCCCAAACTCCCTAGGCAAGTATTCACGATACATGTGTCTACACCTTGTATCAACAATACGCAGTTATTGTGCGAAGATAGGGTGGCCTCGTCCTACTCAGTCATTACTCCGCAGATGACTCAACGCCAAACACGCTTTAAACAGGAAGTCCAACCAAGAGACGACAGCCGACGCGCCACTTTTGCTGACTGCGAACCATGTCCTGTAACTTCTCTAGCTGAGTACGAGGCGGGTCCTACGGACTCCAAATTGGAAGGCAAGTCGGACCGACAGCACTAAGTTAGATAGTGAGTGACTTCATTTCCGCTGCCAAATTAACTTTTGCCTACTTCGAGTTTTGCACCACTCCACGTCTGGCAAACAAAACAAGGCCCTTATCGGTATGCAGTGACGGGGCATAAGTAGCACGTGCCCAAGCCAGTGCAACTTATCCAGTGTTATCTGTTGTTCTAAAAAACCAGCGTGTTTATCACTGCCTAGCACTCGCCCACGAACATCATTGCGAACACGATGGTGCCTTTTAACACCCGTAACGCTTCGCAAATAACGATGATCAAAGACTCGAAGGCGCCGGGAGTTCCTCAGACCGAATGAGCCGAGTTTCACTACCCTGGAGTAGCACGGCCCTCACGGTCTTTCATGCCGGGGGAAATCCGTTTCTAAGGCCACAGATTTCACGCATTTACAATCGCACCTCTAGCTTGCGCATTACTTAAACTGACTTCAAGTTTTATGCGCCCATCGTTGCTGATGCAGCTGCCAAATTAGGTAAATTGATCAACTAGCTCACTTTTAAGGTTGTGGGTCAGCAGGTGGTTGGTGATCCTACAACAAATTGCTCTTTGAAAGCGTGAAGTACAAGTCAAGCGATCGGACTACTTTAGTGAGGTTGTTTGGGTTTGACTGGGCTTCCCCACAATCCTACAGCAGCCAAAGCGCCATTTCGTGTCTGCTCAATATCTACTAGAGCAGTGCTTCTCAACCTTTTAAGAGTTGTTACCCAAGAATGTGTGCACCATAAGTAATTACCCCCAAAACTTTAATTTAAAAAGCTAATTACATAGTAAATACTACCTTTTTGCTTTAAATGACAAAAATGAATACTCTTATTAATTGCGTTCGATCATTTAAATAGAAAACGCCTATTTTTGAGCAACCTTTTTATTAACTCAAGTTATGGTGTACCTTTTGAGACGCTTGGTATTGCTTCGTTCCAACACTTTCTGGTATCTTCGGTGCGGTTTCGGCTTATGCACATCTTAAGCCGTGCTCCAAGTTCATTCGGTTCCTTGCTTTGATGTGTGATACCTGATCAAACATGAACAGATGTCGTTGGCTTCTCATTTGTTTCAAACATCCCTTCCAAGTCCGTCCTGGATGACAGCTTCTCAACACCACTGTGGGTTGATACGCCCTGAGTACTAATCGTCTTTCTTATCCCCCCTACCTTGCAAACATTCGGTTTCTCCTTTACCTGGTCGGTTGACCTATGCTCCTAACCTTGTGTTAACACAACTGCTTCGACCCGCCGAACGACTGCCTGATTCAAAAGAGCAACGAGCGATTTGATAGAGGCGCCATTTAGCTGCGCTTTTTCGCAGACTTTATTTGTATTTTATAGGGTTTTCTACAGAAAATTGTTTCATTTCCTGACCACTCACTAATGAGTAGTCACCGATGGTTAAGCAATAGTGATTAGGCAGTTGGTTACATGCTTTGATACACATGATTCTGTAACTAATTTTGTTTGGCGACAGATTGATGACTCAATCCTCATACAATTTTATTTTACCCCCTTGGGGGTATTTACCACCAGGTTGAGAACCACCGTACTAGAGTATCTGACCACTATTGTAACCGTTCCCGAGGACTCTATTAAAGCACAAACGTGAATTTACCTTTCGGTCTTCTCATGCTCGTTCGCCATGTCACTTCGGGTCCTCGCCAAATTGGGGTAGTATTCCTTATCAATACACACCGAGGTAGTTGGATTCCCAACATTCGGGGCACATAAACGAGTCAGCATAGACCGTTTGAGTTCAGATAACACTGCAATGCAGTATTTGAGAATTTGCCACCAAATCTCAAGTGATGAACGTGAGTATTGCTTACTGCCACTGGGTCGCCCGAGAACTATGTAAATATTATGCGAGCGCTTTACGCCGTGTAAGACAAGGATTCCGCTGTCACTTTTTCAACTTCGCCATTGACGAACTCATGGATATCGCGTTCACTAGGCAACTTCACTTCACTAGGCTGAAGCTGCTCCAAGGTGAACGACGTCTTGACGTGTGTAATGCTGACGACATTGCCCTCATATGTGACAGCTCACAAACGTTCCGAGCGGCACTCGACAGAGTAGCACTGGCTGGCAGCCTTTTCAGTCATTGCTTTGCACCCTCAAAGTGCGAATCTTTCTTCCAGCATTGACGGGGCCGCCTCCTGCGCTGACCCTTGGTGCAGTTCAGTGCCTATGGGATCTAAGACGAAGTCAAGAACTACTTTTGCTAAATTCCACCACTTATGGCGCCGGCTCATCATCACCCTTTTTGAAGTAGGTTGTACAATGCTGTACGTTCAACTCTGCAGTACGGCTATGAAACCTGTTGAGATCGGCATCCGCAAAGGCTAATTGCAGTCGACCACTGGTGCCCTCGCATTTTGACTCATATCTGGTGGGAACACTGCGTGGGTAATGAATGTGTTCGGCGCCGTTTATGTCACAACAAAAGGAAATGAAGCGCTCAGCATCATTATTTCATGAACCGGGCTCCGATGACTGGGCCACGTGCTGTGCATGTCAGCCCACTGACTCCCGCGACGTGTGTAGTTTGCGCGACCAGGGTGTGGATGGAAGAAGAGTAAGGGAGGCCAACCGACCACATGATCAATAGGGATGGAGGTCCTTAGTTCGAAGTTGACCTCGGTTGGAGCCTCTCGGCTCCTTGCTTGCATCCCTGAAGACGATGAACACGTATGACTGGATGCAATTGTTGACGTGGCAAGGATCCGACTTCAATGGCGTTCGTGTTGTGACTTGCTTTTTCCCTCCCTTCTTCCAACCACGACCTCATTTCTGGCGCGTGATATAACTTTGCGACAAAATTGCCCGTCGCTAGCTCTCCGGCTGTAGCCGAGAGCATCACACTCCTGTTTCTGTGGGGGACCGGGCGACCCTCGCAGTATCCTAAGCTCACGCGGAACTGTTGATGGTCTCGTGGCAGCGGAGCATTGGTATTGCGTTCCGGCGTACTGCTGTTGCCTCTCCTGGAACGATGTCCATCCATTTAGCCGACGTGCCTGTGTTGCTTCTTTCTTCCGTTTCTTGTGGATTGCAGCTCAATATCTGAGCATGTGTAATGAATCAGTAGTACTACCACCAAACTTGAACAATTCTTGGCAGACATGGGCGGCCAAACACAATCAGTGAGCTTAGCGCGCATAGATGAATTTCCTGGTCCTTTCAACGACACTGGTCGCACTGCGCAGTTATAACCTCTCCGGTCTTTATGGCTGAGACGTTGAAAATCCATGCGCGCGGTACTCTCGGTGATGCGATCGCCAAATGATATTGCCAGTGAGATTAGCAAGGTGACCGACGACTTCTAGCAGTTGTTCGGCAGAAGCGAATCACCTAACTCCGGTAACTTGCACTTTGCAGGTACAACACAGCGCTGTGAATCATCTTATTCAACGGCGCTTGTATAACATCAGCGAACCTGGTGCTTTCGTTCATAATTCGAGCTACTTTGACACACAATTCCTTTCTAACTTCGCCATCGACGAAGTCATGGAAACTACATTCATTGGATACGATGTGCAAGACGTGGAGCTGCTTCTTGCTAACCGAACTCTTGAATGGGAGTAACCCGACGATATTGCCACCCCTTTTAACAGTTCCCAAACTCGCAAAGCAGCACTGAATAAATTAGCTCTGGTTGTCAATCGTCTCGGGTTATGTTTTACACCGCCGAAACGCAGAGTCCTCCAAGATTGGCAACGACCCACCCCTGCGCTAACTCTCGGCGACGACCAGCTATAAGTCGTTCGGAAATTCAAGTATCTAACAGTCATATTAGCGCCCTTGGGATCGAAAACGAGCTCACGAGCCGTATAGCAATAGCTCGAGGCGTCTTTATCAATCTCCGCCACTTGTGGCGCCGGCGCGACATTACTCTCGCTCTGAAGGGCATAATTAACAATGCGTCCGCTTAACCCTCCTGTACGGTTGCGAAACCTGGCGCA